GCTGGTCAAGAGGAATCCGCCACCGTCTTCTGGTAGAACCGAGCTTCGAATCTCTTCCCCCAACTCTTTCACTCGAAATGGAAATAAGCTCAACAACTTTCATTTCGTTCGAAGTCGATAAGTGGTACCAAAAAACTGTCACTGTAGATTTGTGCGAATAGTTCCACAGCTCACTGTCCCGCGGTCATGGTGATTCTTCGCTGAGCCTTCGTCAGTCAGGTGACGGACATCGTCCGAGCTGGATACAAGACTTTACGATAATTCACTAAGCACAAAGACCAGAAAGGTGGCCGGCTGCGATCCCATCCACTTTCTTTGAGTAAAGAAATGTCGTCGACTGCTATGGCAAATATGAGTTTGCCTCAACGACAATGTGATATGGAAAATGCCTCACCTTCCTTGAAATTCACATCTGCCCTCTGACCCAAGGGCACTCATGGCGATGTGGCGTAGTGGTTAAGGTGTCGAGATTACATCCTGTATTGTCATGATTCGACTCTAGCTGGGAGTGTTGATAAGACCTTTGTGAGGTCGAAATTGCAGTCCACTCTGGAGGAAAACAACTTCTGGGAAAGCAAGGCTTTGTGAAATTTAATGGAAACGCATTGTGGGAAGAATCAACACCAGTCCTTCATCGCCTCAAACGAAATAGGCTGGATACAACTCATATATTTACTTTTTATAGCCTAGCCATGTCCACTTAGTGGGACATGTGACGATTTGGTTGGATATCCCATGCCATTTCTACATGCTGTTGAAAAGTAAAGTGGCTGCAGATGAAGAGTGAAATGAATGCAATTGTTACCGAGTAGCTAGATCCTCTCCTGAATCACTTATAACTTTTATCTCATAATGTTGCCGCAACTTTCTTCGAAAACCAGTCTTTTTAAATATATATTTCAGGGATGTTTTAAAGTCTGGCTGATCTGTCTAATACTAAGTGAAGAAAGTTAAAGCAATGTGAAGGTGAATTTTGTTGAAGATGGACTCCTGTTTTGATATCGCCTAGGCATGGCCCAGCAACAAGTGCTATACAGAACAGTGGAGTTCAAGGGGAGGAGCCATCATGCTGCTAAAGAACAAGCCATCTATAGAACACCACTTCTGTCAGTTTATCCTTTTATTATCAAATAAAGTGGTTTATTTTTATTTGTAGTTTTGTATCATCAGGGACAGTGAACATTTCGTTGAGGGCTTTAGTATTCTGTGCAAAAGCTGATTGTCAAATACTCTAGGATCAAGCATATCCCAATTTTTAATGGCAGTTAGAATAGTGAAGAGTCTAATCAGTATGAAACTTCAAACCCATGTAAAAGCAACCATTGGATACAATTTAAGTGTTCATACGATTTGCTTATTCTCCTATAGAGTTCAACTTAAAAGTCCTACGAATAGGCTCACTCAGGCAAATAATTGCAGAGATTCTGCAAATAAATTAACCACGGATTTGCTCAGCGGAATAAAAAAAGACAACTTCAACTATACTCTGTTAAGACCGAACAACAAGTCCCTTGAAGTTGTTCGACCTTGTTCACGCAACTTGGTCATACTGGAAGGGAGACCTGTACGAACCCACTTTGTCCTGACTTCATAGTATGCATGGAAATTTCCAAGGTCGGGCCATGGACTTGGTACATTCACAGACGTTTCGACGGTATCGTCAGTAAGTCTTGTCATTCTTAGCGCCACACCACAAGGAAGAAAAGTTGGGTTTCGAGGAATCTCTTGTTTCATAATTGTTGAGCTTAACCGAAATCGAAGGAGATTGCCTCGGAAACAGCGTCAGCCCTTCATGCCCTCGATTGAACAGCCTCCCAATTAACACGTTTTCCAGGGGAAACAGTTGTCATTGAAGCAAAAGCGCTCGACATTGGCTGGTCAAGAACACACAGTAATACCGGTGGCGACAAGGTAGAGAGCATTTTCTACGAATTCTTCCAGCAAGGGGGGCTAAATTGCGAAAAGGCGATAAAGCCAGAGCAGGCCGGGACCACTGGAATCCGGTTTTCCTATTCGGATCCAAGTAAGCGGAGTCTACACAGAGGCATATTTCACAAATCCGGCTCACATGGTCTGGCATAAATTCCAAAACAGAACGCTTCACGATCCTGTCTATCCACACCGTGCTCCATGATTATGGCACATCTGATACTTCAAACCGTAGCACAGGTAGCAGGCCAATGGAGACATGCACAAATAAATCCAAGCTGCACGCAGATGCCTGGGGCAGATGCGTCGGCTTAGTCTGTCGTCAAGGAGCGTCTGACAATGGCGCAGACGGATAGACTTCGTTTAATCACTAAAGATTGGGGCTCTTCGTGTTGCAAGCTGGCCTTTAACCCTAGCGATACTCCAGTCTGTGACCATCGCCTCGAAGTCTCCGTGCGTTGAACACTTGAAGGTGAGCAACCCATTACATGCAGTGCGAGCAAACGAAGTTTATTGACCCAGCATGTTTGGAGTCTTGGATGACCGTCGAAAGGTAGCAGGCACTTGATAAATAGAAGCCTGGAATCAAGTCTAGCCACACGGTCGCCCGGAAAAAGTGGAGGCAGAATGTGTGAAGTCGGGCCGACGAAGTCATCCAGCTCCAAAACAAACTATCCGAGCACAATGACGACAGGCGGCAATTCTTGCAACGCACCAGAAAGGCAATGTAAACGATGTGGCCACTTGGTAAACAGCATATTCAAAAATCACGCCATATGCACTTGATGTGTACGCAATGCGATACCGAGTCTTGAAGAACATTTCGCAACTGGCAAAATCACACCCAAGGCCAGCTCGGCCACGTCGGCAAGCGGTTTGTGCTTATGGCCACACCGTGGATATGGTTCAGTACACTTTGGAACCGTGCCGTTGAGGTTTGACTCAACAGTGACAGTTGTTTTGGCCCGAAAACACCTCTTTTGTGAGAAGTACACGTGGGCCGGCTACAAAGATTGTCCATTTTGCCAGCTCTTATTACACGCGTTTAAGTGAAAAGATGAGATACCCGATCTGCTGGCCAGAGCCGGATGGCCTCAACAGTGACCCTATTTCAACATTCGAGTGATCCCAGCCTCGTGTAGACACACTCGACAAATGTGAATCGAAGGAGAGGCTGGGTGGGGTGAGGATTATGTAGAAAAATTGGGTTGCGAAGACTCCTTTAATGGATTGAGGTTGCTAGTACCTTTCATTCCGTTTTAAGAGGCGGGTGGAGGGTATTCGTAAGTTGGTCTCTCTGGAAGCTGTAGGCCGATTGCCTTGGAACTATGGTTGTAGATTTGTGCGAATAGGTCCTCGACGCACCGCCCTGCGACACCGACGAGTCGCATGACGGACGGAAGCCCAGCACAAACCTACAATCACAGCACCGAGGCAACCCCTCCACAACTTCTTGTGAGACCAACTTAAATATGTCCACCACTCGCCTCTTCAAACTCCAACAGAATGAGGATTAATGTGGAATAAAGATTGTAGGATTTTGCGAAGAAATCCGAATATCATAGACCCGCGCCTAACTTACGTCTGTCCCACACCGACAGACATTATTATAGCCAGAAACTGAACGGAAGGTGGCCGAGTTCCGGTCAGACCAATTCACGAATCCCTCTCGGCCAACCCTTTCGTCGAAGTGAGGGATACTTTGTGATGCAGCCTTATTTTATACGTTCGAGTGATGTCTCCAGCGCATTTGTGGCTCTATTCGCTATCCTGAAAGCCCAGACACGAAGACCTTTCACTGCATAAAGTGTGGTTTGTCTTAGTTTACGCAACCTGGCCATGTTGTCAGGGCGACGTATGAACGCAGGTTGTCAGAACTCCTCTTCCGTAACAGTCATAATAACTCCACCTTTTGATCGTGGACTTGGTACGTGGTTATTCAGTATGTGATAGCGTAGAATAGCATGACTACTGTGGTAGAGGACTTCACATAAAGTTCGTTTAGCTAAGTCTACCTGACGGCACGAAAAAATTGCGAAAACGAGTTTAAGTCACTTCCACAGTCTGAGAGTTGTAAACAGTGTCACTCGGCCAGCGGAAAGGATTCGCAAATTGGCCTCGGAGTTGGCTGTCACCTGTAGGCATATAGAAGGCATAGGAGAGCCGACTAAATTATGAGATGTCTTTAATTAATTGGATAAAAAATAAAATTGAATAAATGAGTGGGTCGCATGAATCTAGCCACATCTCCATTGCATTCCTTCTTCGGCTTCTGGAGGAGGCCAATTCAGTAATCCCTTCGACACGTCTGTGAGAACTAAATGAATGGTGTATCGGATGTAGTCCCCATATTTCGTTAAAGGGGACCATTAATTGAATTGTCACACAATGATATGAAGCCAGTCTGGGTGGGAATACCTTTTGTGAAATCAATGGAAACGTCATGTCTACTCATATGATTGGGGGAAAATTCGATTGCCAGTCACAATATCACCCTAAACGAAACACATACGAACTTCTGGTGGTCTCGAAAAAATGCTTATAAAACGAAAAATAGATAAAGGCCAGATATTAAAACCAAGATGGTGTAGCCTCCATTCGATGTG